ACCTTACTCGTACGATTCGGTCGATGCTGAACGAAGCTGGTCTTCAGAGCGTCATCGATACAGTCGGGGATCCTCGTTCTCGACGGCAGGTACCCTCCCATCCTCATGGCCGCAAGATGAAGGGCAATATCCACATCCCTGGAATCCGCGATCGAGGGTCCGAGCAGTACGAGGGCTTGATGGCGCGCTTGGGCTGGCGATGCCGCGTCTGGGTGCCAGCAGTGCTGGTTCTTTTCGGGCTTGTGTTTTGTGTGTGATTGTGCAGCTTCTCGCTGTGGACTGTGTACCTGCCGGTTCAGCTTGTTCCTGCTTTGTTTTGCTTGAGGCACTTTTTATCTTCTGCCAGTAAATCCTATACTAGCGCTGCATCCTGACACCCTCCGCTTCATCTGGTATTTGGCGGACATCATTGCTCAGCGCTCGATGCCTCTTGAGGATGCGGCGTTTGGTCGGCACTTCGTGCCTGATGACGGACCTGCTGCTGAGGTCTTGGCTCGCAAACGCGCCGCCACCTATCAGCGCCTCACCATGCAGCTTACGCTGGAAGCGCTCTTGTCTGGTGCGAGGCGCATGACGCCCTTGCGGGCGCAAGCACTTCTCGAGCCAGAGGACAGCTCCTCCTCGGACTTTGTCGAGTCGCCCGAGGAGGAGTCTTCGCCGGAGGTCTCCGACTCCGATGGGGGAAACACTTCGAGTGGCGCCGACGATCGGCGCGGAGCTGGCGAGGCGTCTCCGTCCCTCACTGTGACGTCGGGTGCCTCCGGAGAGCTCGACACCACTGGGGTGCTTGCTGCTGGTCCGAGCTCACCTGCTTCCTCCCCGGCATCGGTCGGGTCACGCCGGTCCTTGGGCATTGCCGCGGCGTCGCCGCCGTCACGGGCGGCTACCACTGACTTGGCTACCGCTGACTCGGAGGCTAGCGAGGAGGACTACCTCGAGCGGTACCGTGTTCATGTGTCCAGCCTCCCTCCGTCCGCTGCCCCTGGCGGACCCCCGGGCAACGCCGGCTCCTTGTCGCGGCGGCTGCCCTTTCTCCGTCCGCGGCCGCCCGCTTTGTGGCGGCAGCGGACGTCTCGACTGACAGTGGTCAGTCGGCTGCCTCCGGGTATCGCGTCTAAGGGATTTTATTCCTCCTGCGTGCTCCTGCTGCTTGTTGCTTGATTGCTTGACCCTTCGGCTGCTTGTCTGCGCGGCTTCGCGCTTGGGCTGGCGATGCCGCGTCTGGGTGCCAGCAGTGCTGGTTCTTTTCGGGCTTGTGTTTTGTGTGTGATTGTGCAGCTTCTCGCTGTGGACTGTGTACCTGCCGGTTCAGCTATGCCATGACTACTCCTCCTCGAGCGTTCATCCCTCTTGCCATCTCGACGGACGGTACCCTGCATCCTGACACCCTCCGCTTCATCTGGTATCTCGCGGACATCATTGCTCAGCGCTCGATGCCTCTTGAGGATGCGGCGTTTGGTCGGCACTTCGTGCCTGATGACGGCCCTGCTGCTGAGGTCTTGGCTCGCAAACGCGCCGCCACCTATCAGCGCCTCACCATGCAGCTTACGCTGGAGGCGCTCTTGTCTGGTGCGAGGCGCATGACGCCCTTGCGGGCGCAAGCACTTCTCGAGCCAGAGGACAGCTCCTCCTCGGACTTTGTCGAGTCGCCCGAGGAGTCTTCGCCGGAGGTCTCCGACTCCGATGGGGGAAACACTTCGAGTGGCCCCGACGACCGGCGCGGAGCTGGCGAGGCGTCTCCGTCCCTCACTGTGACGTCGGGTGCCTCCGGAGAGCTCGACACCACTGGGGTGCAGTGCTTGCTGCTGGTCCGAGCTCACCTGCTTCCTCCCCGGCATCGGTCGGGTCACGCCAGTCCTTGGGCATTGCCGCGGCGTCGCCGCCGTCACGGGCGGCTACCACTGACTTGGCTACCGCTGACTCGGAGGCTAGCGAGGAGGACTACCTCGAGCGGTACCGTGTTCATGTGTCCAGCCTCCCTCCGTCCGCTGCCCCAGGCGGACACCCGGGCAGCGCCGGCTCCTTGTCGGCGGCTGCCCTTTCTCCGTCCGCGGCCGCCCGCTTTGTGGCGGCAGCGGACGTCTCGACTGACAGTGGTCAGTCGGCTGCCTCCGGGTATCGCGTCTAAGGGATTTTATTCCTCCTGCATGCTCCTGCTGCTTGTTGCTTGATTGCCTGACCCTTAGGCTGCTTGTCTGCGCGGCTTCGCGCTTGGGCTGGCGCTGCCGCGTCTGGGTGCCAGCAGTGCTGGTTCTTTTCGGGCTTGTGTTTTGTGTGTGTTTGTGCAGCTTCTCGCTGTGGACTGTGTACCTGCCGGTTCAGCTTGTTCCTGCTTTGTTTTGCTTGAGGCACTTTTTATCTTCTGCCAGTAAATCCTATACTAGCCCTGCATCCTGACACCCTCCGCTTCATCTGGTATTTGGCGGACATCATTGCTCAGCGCTCGATGCCTCTTGAGGATGCGGCGTTTGGTCGGCACTTCGTGCCTGATGACGGACCTGCTGCTGAGGTCTTGGCTCGCAAACGCGCCGCCACCTATCAGCGCCTCACCATGCAGCTTACGCTGGAAGCGCTCTTGTCTGGTGCGAGGCGCATGACGCCCTTGCGGGCGCAAGCACTTCTCGAGCCAGAGGACAGCTCCTCCTCGGACTTTGTCGAGTCGCCCGAGGAGGAGTCTTCGCCGGAGGTCTCCGACTCCGATGGGGGAAACACTTCGAGTGGCGCCGACGATCGGCGCGGAGCTGGCGAGGCGTCTCCGTCCCTCACTGTGACGTCGGGTGCCTCCGGAGAGCTCGACACCACTGGGGTGCTTGCTGCTGGTCCGAGCTCACCTGCTTCCTCCCCGGCATCGGTCGGGTCACGCCGGTCCTTGAGCATTCAGCGGCTGCGGCGTCGCCGCCGTCACGGGCGGTCCTCGGCTACCGCTGACTCGGAGGCTAGCGAGGAGGACTACCTCGAGCGGTACCGTGTTCATGTGTCCAGCCTCCCTCCGCCCGCTGCCCCCGGGCGGAGCCCCGGGCAGCGCCGGCTCCTTGTCGCGGCGGCTGCCCTTTGCGTCTAACGGATTTTATTCCTCCTGCCGCTCCTGCTGCTTGTTGCTTGATTGCTTGACCCTTCGGCTGCTTCGATGCCTGGTCTGCTGACGGTTGCCAGCAGTGCTGGTTCTTTTCGGGTTTTCAGTGTTTTGTGTGTGTTTGTGCAGCTTCTCGCTGTACAAAACCCGGACTCCGGGTGACCGTACCCGGGCCGTAGTACGGTCCGATCGCCGGACTCCGAGTCGGCGAATGCAAAACTCAGAGTAGAGGTCTTATGGATGTCCTTCTGAATAGCGTTGCGTAGTGTGCCCAGTTTAGTTAACCTGGAGAAAGGGGTTAAGATCTAGGTTAAATCCATAGATGACCCTAGCTAAAGATTCCAGTTATCAATTTGTACCACAACCATCGCTTTTTTTTAACTGTCAACAACTCGTTCCATCGATGCATTCATGCGGTTGCCATGCTATGCAGAAAGAATGCAGATCTGATGCGTATGCGAAGGTTGCGTTGCAGTCATATGAGATTCCAGCAACAGAGATATTGCATGAGCCGCTCATGCAATATCTCTGTTGCTGTCAATGCAGGAAATCAACAACATGAAGCGTACAGTATGAAATCATTTATTGCATGAACTTCCTAAATTCAAGCGAAAGCTCACGATATTTGTGTCCCCTTCAGGATTCATGTCTCCAATCCTTGGTGACTACAGATGAGCTCACTGGAATCTGCATAGCTTGACACATGCACAGGAAGCGGTGACGTTAGCCCGTTGGAATATCCTTCGAAGTTTACCTTTGCCTGTTCTTGAACATATGCATGTTACTATGAAAAGATGCTGTATGTTAATCATATGTAGCGTTGTACATTACATTTGGATTCGTTATCATTGTCCTCGTTGAACACACAACAGGAAAGCTTTCAGCAACACAATCTTGCTGTCTCAGAGATGTTCAACAGCGAGCAACAAGAGCTAATAAAGAGTGAGGGTGAGCTAGGTGTGCAGGCTGCCATGAGTCTATGCTGACAGGATGATAGTTGATGTTATGTTGTCAGTCAGATGGAGAGGCAGAGGTTCACGGGAAGGAAGTCGGGCGAGGCTGCGCACGCCATGTGTACGCTGTGTGGAACGCCCTGCCAGGGCGCCGCTCGTCGGCTTTTACCGAGATGTCGAACCGTTGCGATTTAGCTATTCAAACGCTATTCAGGCCCTGAATAGTGACATAGGAAACTATTCAGAGCCTGAATAGTGTCTGAATTCAGAGCTGATTTAAGTAAAACTTTAGTACCTACGCTACGCAATTCAGGGCTTCCATAAGACCTCTACTAGTGTAACATTGAATGGTAGCCCCGCGAAATATTGAATTAGCTTAGTTAAAAATATCGGGGATGGCGATGCCGGGGGAGAGAGATGGGCAGGCTGGAGGGGAACCGAGAAGAAGGGAGGCGAGGAGGAGCGGACGAGGAGGAGCGAGTCTGAGCACGAGACCTTGAGCAAGCAACCAAGTGGCAGGGTGCGAAGAACGAACGCGAGCTGGCCGACATTGAAAGTGTTGGTTTGCCGAGAGTGCGGGCGAACCGAAGCATATGGCTAGTTCAAGAGTCTCCCGGACGTGCTGGTCGCCCACTCGTCTGGTCTTGTTGGGTTTATTCATTGAGATGCATATGGTCTACAGTGACAAGTATGACGACCTAGTCTTGATTGAAAGACCCTGGGGTTACTGGAAGCTGCAACCTGTGCTTGGATGGGACAGCCTGCAAGTGCCTGATAGCAGCGGCAGGTCTTTGAAGCTGAGGTACTTGGAAGCATCATCCCTGCAGCACCCGACTTTGACTCTCCGAATGGCAGGAACGGAAGATTTCAGGGAGTCCTTCAGGAAGACAACACCTGTACAAGAAAGCCTTGCGTGTGGTGGGACGGACAGGACAATCAGACGTTTGTGTCCTTCAATGCTCGTGGAAGGATCACAATCCCTCAATTCTACCTTCCTGCTGTGCAGTCATTTACTGTCGAACTTCTTGTCTCTCTGAGATGTACTAGGTTGGCAATCGTTGCCTGTTCTCACTGCGATGTTGTTCAGGTCCCACGCATGATGGTGCTGCGACTCAAAGCATTTTTCGCCTCCTCAACGAGTCGACAGTGTTCACGTAGAGGGAGTGTCGTCTTCTCAAGGAGATGAAATGTTGCATGCAGGCCTCGGATCTTGATAGAGGGCAATGAGATAGCAGCCTACGTCAACCTCAACGACCCCGAGCGAAACAGCTCTTACTTCATGAAGATGGACTCGGTGAGCCGTTATTTCCTTCCAAACGCTCAATCAACATTGAAACATGTTTCATACAAGGTCAGGGCAGCGAATGGCAATTCAAGCTTTCCTGCTTCATCTTGGCATCATGTTGCTCTGATATTCAACGGAACTCATCTCAATCTTCACATCAACGGCACTTTGAGGTAGAGAAACATGGCATTCGACAATGTGCTGACTAAGGTTTTGCTAGACAAAGTCGTTTTCAAGGTAATCTCATGCAGTTTGGTGGTCCTTGTTCAAAGCAGCGACAAGAGTCGAAGTGTATCCGAGCGAGGTATGAATGAGATCGGTCGTTTTGCAGGCATGACAGTCCATCTTCAGGGGCATAGCAGTTGGCGAAGGATTCAACGGCAAGCTGGCTCGTTTAGCGGTGTATATCAGACGCTCCATGCGTTGCAAACGAGGCGTGTGTGAGAGGATGATTATCAGGTGTATGATAGCGAAGTATCGGAAGACGCCTTGATCGAGCATTGGAAAACGTTTGAAGGTGCGGGATACATCTTATCATGAAACCTGTGACGCTGCTCTAGATATCTACGGGCAACCTCTAAACGAGCCATCCAACTCCTCCAAGAAAGGAGTTTTCGCGGAATGTGATCAAGAGCTAGGCAATGCTGCGACCAGCGAGTTTGCTGTCGCGCTGGTCGCGTCCGGTTGCTCCATAGCAGGGATGTTGGTTCTTGTCGTTGCTGCCATCCTCCACTTGAACTGGTGTGCCTGCTGACCCCTTGACGACTAGCTGAATTCCAGCAGGTCCAACTTAGCGCATGGCAACAATCAGCTCGAGAAGAATGTTCGAGAGCTTGCTATCCCTGAGCACTTTCCTGTGCTTCATGCCCATCCGGTCTACCCCACAGCTTTCTTGGCCGTTCTAGCAGGATTGCTTGCTGTCTCTTACTCGTCTGATTGGTTTCTTGTTTCTACTCGAGACGTCAACATGTATAATGGTGGTTGCAGGTATCGCTATCCTTCTTTCGCTTCTCAAGATGGGCGGACGGTCAGCGGGATGCACTATCTGTTCTGGGGCTTTTGTGAGAGCGGAGGGTCTTTGCTGCTGTTGGCTTGCTCAGGTTTTCCTCCTTGTCTTTCAGCCTTCGATTGACCTTTGACCTCTGTCTCTCTCTCTGTCGTAGATTACCTCAACCCCACCGGAGCCGGCGCCATTGTTCTTCTCATAGTTTGCTGGAGTGCAGTCTTCGTCTGCTTCTCTGCCGACTTGGCTGGAACGGGAAGAAGTTCTTTGCCGCTCTTCTTGGGTCTGTGCAACCAGCCTCTGACCTTTGAGTCCTTTCGCCTCCCACCCCCCGTCACCCTCATCGACGACGGCAGCTGCGTGCGTGGCGTCGGTTACCCGCTCGTGGCCATCGCGGTTGGTGCAGGGAGGGAGCAGGTAGGGATTGACGTTTGCGATGGTGCAGGTCTTGTCGTTGGTCCCTGCCTACGTGCTGAGCTCGCTCCCCTCTCACAAGATTCTCATCGACAGCAACTTCTCCCTCCCCCACCAGCTCTCAAGGTTGGAGTCCATCAAGGTGCTGCCAACTCACGTAGCCACAGGAAAGGCAAACAAGTGGAGCAAGGCACACTTGAGGAGACCGCTGCGATGCTCAGTGCAGGAGCGAGCACGAGATCGGACGCGCGTCCGTCATGGTCATGGAGATGGCTTCTCCTCCTCAAGCCCTGGTGGTCGTCTGGAAGAGCTCCGGGCGTCGACAAGTTGGATGAGACGAGCGTCTTCGAGAGATCGAGCAGGAGCCGAAACTTGCGGCTGCTTCGAGTGAGGAGAGGAGATGCTTGGCGTGTATGACGCATGCTCAGATCTGGTTCTTCACGGTTGCGATCAGCAAGAGAGCCTTGTGGATCGGGACAGTAGCGATGAAGCAGGTGAGGGTGGCTCGTCCCTTGGCCTCATGCTGATCTCTGCTTGTAGACTGATCTCAACGGCGATCAACGGCTCTGCTTCGGAGCTCTGCTAGACATGGTCAGGTGAGCTGGCACACTCGATCAGATGTCATCGGCCTCATGTTGAGCAGCGTCTGCGCCATGGCCGTCATTATGTGCGTCTCTAAGATCTCAGATTGGCCGACTCAGCGCAAGCGCCTCTCGTCCTTCTCTTCCAGTCGCTCGACCTCAGCCGACGAGGCGTCGTCGTGGACGTCAGAAGAGAGACGATCAGAGCAGGAGGATGCAATTGACTCGGAGCTTGAGATCTCACAAGAGAGGCAGACGAGGAGTGCAAGGTCGGAAAGAGATGGCAGGTCTTCTCCATCGCACATGCTGAGCAAGACCAACACCGAGTCTCAAGCATCGGATGAGGAGGAGCGAGTGTGGATCAACAAGTTCTACCGCGACGAGGTTCTCATGGAGGTCGCTTGTTCCTCGTTTGCGCCTCTCCTCAAGCCCTGCAGGAGCTCATTCGCATGGGGTATATCGTCTGGCAGGAGCCCATGAGGTCCCTCCAGTCTCGCTCCCACCAGCTCTCACGCACTGCCAGGCTGACCGCACAGGCTGTTCATGCCGTGAACTTCCGGGTGGCTCGCAGCCTGAGCTTCCTCGTCCTCGTCTCTTCTTTCCTCGCCATGCTCGGCTTCGTCACCATGAGGTTTGCGAGCTCGAAGCCCTCGGGAGCTGACGGGCGAGCAGGCAGGACGAGTCCGTGTACGCCCTCAACTGCTGGACCACCGCGCTGGACCTTCCGGTACGACGAGCGGCTGGTGTGCGGAGCTGAGGAGCTCCTAGTGGCAGAGCTGGGAGGATGTAGGAGAGAAGCGGCTGATGTGCCCGAGGAGATGCGAGGAGAGAAACTCGCTCCTCCTCCTCCTCGACGGATTTCTCTCGGGGAGTCCCGAAGCCTCTGGTTCCCCTCTCGGTCAGCAGCCGGTCTGGGGTTGGAACGACGTCTTTGGCGGGCCGAGTGCTGCTGGGGGAGTGCAGGGATATGCGGATCGAACGGCTCTATGCCGGTGAGTCGCTTGCGGGTGTGGGTGTGTGGGGGTGAAGAGCTGAAAAAGAGGGCAGAGGAGCGCTTCACTCGGGGATCCTGGGGAAGGAGGGAGGGAGCAGCCGATGCTTCACGCTGAAGCTGTCCGAGAGAAGGTCAGGGCTCTCAAGCTGTCATTCTTGTTGTGCGTCTCAGGTGCAGCAGGTCGGAGTATGCCGGCTCTCTTCGTAACGGAGTTGAGAGTCTGAGCCTTGACCTGAGTCAACAAGACGACGCCAGGTGAGGATCGCTGTCCTCCTCTCTTCTCACCTCCTTGTCAGGTTCAGCGTTGAGTTCGAGGAAGCTACCAAACCTTGTCCCTTCGCTCTACGATGGCATGCCGCCGCCTGTGTCATCCCGATGATGAGCGCCTTCGTCGCGTTTTCTCTGCCTCCGCTGCTGCTGTGGATCTTCTTGCTCTGCGGCTGCTTCTGGATGTATGGCTGGCTGGGACTCTTCGCCTCCATGCAGACGCTCTCGGCTCTCGGGCTGAGAGGGAGCGAGGGAGAGATGCAGGCGCAGTTGATGCCCCAAGGTTTGATTTCTCCTCTCCTCCACCTCCTCGCTCTCTCTCCTGCTCTCTACCTCCTCGGACCTGCGTGGGTCCTGCGCTGCCCCCCATGGCTGTGGCACATCCCCTTCCCCCTCAACCAGGTGAAGCTGCTTGTCCTCAGCCTCCCCTCACTGTCAGCCTGCAGCGCCACTGGTCGCAAAGACTCCCTGCGCCTGCCAGGAACCCCAAGGAGCTTCTCTCCCGCAACTTCGCGTGCTTTGCTCTTCCCATGCTCTTCGGCTGCAGTTTCCCGTCACTCCTTCCGGCCTGGCAGATTCTGCAGCAGGTGAATCTGCTCGAGAGGTAAGCTGCTTGTCTCGCTTCGCCCTCGCCCTCACCTGCTCAGTTCGGGATGGGTCGCAACTTTTCGAGCGTTTCTTGTGCTGGGCACAGACACTCTACCCTACCTCCTCGTCATCGGAGCCACACTGCTGGCTTGTCTTCCCCTTCTCGTCTACTGCCTTTATCTTCTATACCGGTGGCAAGCACCTCCTCCTCCTCTTCCCGCTCCTCCTGCTCCCGCTCCTCCCGCTCCTCCTGCTCCCGCTCCCGCTCCCGCCGCTGCTCTCGCTCCCGCTCCTGCCTCTGCCTCTGCCTCTACCTCTGCTCCTGCTCTTCCTGTTCGTGTTATCGAGCATTATCTTAATTCCTTCCGCGCTCGTTGGTCATGGTAGATTGCAGGGGTGGAGAGCTCAAGCGCTTCTTCCTCATGTACTCCGCTGTTGCTCTCGCGTTCCTTGCTGTATCCGTTTTGGTGAGCCTCCTACCTTCTCTTGCCACCTGCCATCACCCCAAACCCTCGCTGTCTCTCTCTCTCACCTTCCCTCGCTTTCTCTCTCTCTCACCTTCCCTCGCTTTCTCTCTCTCACCTTCCCTCGCTGTTGGCTTCTCACGTTCATCAGGTGCGCAAGTACTACTCCTTCAACCTTCGCGGCTACCTCATCTTTATCGCCCTCGTCCCCATCACTGCCCACGACCGTCACCTCTGCGCAGGTTCACGTCTCTCCCGCGTGTTTCTCCCTCACTCCTCGCAGCCCTGCAGGGGCTGCTGCTGGGCTTGTGCGTGCAGGAGATCGCGGGAAGGGGAGGCGAACTGCCGCTGTGGGAGGAGACCTCAGGCCGCCTGTGATAGGTGGTGCTGTACATTAATGAAGAAGCGGAGACGAAGAAGAGGAGGGAAGGGTGACGGGTTTATTCTTCTCGAGCAGATATTCTCATTCTCAACAATCTCGATGTAGCGAAACGATTCTTCGCTCTCCCTCCTCACTCATCACCTCCAGCTCCACCTCCTCCCTAGCAGGACCCACCAGTTTCTGCTGGATCTCGCTCGCTGTTGCGCTCTCTACGTCTTTCCCTCCCACTTTCATCAGCTGCTCCCCCACCTTCACCTTGCCCGACTTGCGCGCCGACCCACCTTCAGGCAGCGACAGAATCTTCCACCTTCCGGTGGCGGACCCCAGGCCCAGCAGAAGGGAGCAGAAGCTCGGCTTCTCCGATGGTATGTGGGCAGACGTTGCGGCAAGAGGAGAGGACAAGAGAGAAGCAGAAGCTGCAGCGACTTGTGTCGCACGCTCAAACATAGGATGTGCATGCGATGCTGCGAGTTCCTGTAAAGTTTTCTCCTCGAGCTTGACCTGTTGGAGCTCTTCTCGCTCCTTCATCTTCCTCCTCCCCTCCTTCAACTTCGCAGATCGAAACATCGACTGCACTTGCGCCCACAGCAACGCTTCCTGTGCTTGCCTCCTGCTCCGTTCCAGCTCGACCTCGTTTGGAGACGCCTTATAACCCAGATGGCCAGATTCCTTTCCCTGTTGCTGTTGCTGTTGCCGTTGCCGTTGCTGTTGCTGTCTCGCTTCATGTTGTAAGACATCCAGGTCGTCTTGAAGCAAGTCGCTGTGATCAAATAGGGCAGGAGCATACGTCTCGTTTGCGCACCTCATCCACAGCAGCTCCAGCCGACGCTTCCTCGCTGCCGGGAAGCTTTGATATTCGCTTGAGATCCAAAGCGAGTGACTTCGCAGCTTCTGCATGGCAGGAAGCAGAGGGCAGAGACTGAGATCAAATGAGTCGAAGGAGGAGGAGACGACGAGACCGAGTCCCGACAAGGCTGCCTCCACATCTGCCATGTCTCTCGAGAAGGGAACGCCTCCCAGTTTCATCAGGGAGTGGAAGAGGAAGAGACCCGGAGGCTCAGAGGCGGCAGGCGCGTTGACGCTTGCTTCAAGCACCTGCTGAAAGAACTTGTGCGGGTGACAGCAGAGGGGAAGCAGACGCTCTCCTCCTCGCACCCGCGACACGTAGGTCCTTCTCCTCCACGTGTTGTTGAGCAGCAGCGCAACTGCGAGGTCCGAGGGAGGAAGGAAAATGTGGTGGGCGGGGAGCAAACAGGCTGACTGGAAACTTCTACCGGTGAGAAGCGCGCGAGGTCTGCGAGAGACAATGAGGGACACCAGGGAGGGAGAGACTCACCTCCAAGTAAGAGCGAGCCAGTGACGAAAGGCCTCGCCGTCTCCCTCTCCTCCTTCCTCTAACTTGTCGTGCGATATCTGGGAGATCCAGACCTCGTTCCATAAGCCCTTAGCCTGCAGCCCCTCTACAGCTGCACCATGCGAGTGCCAGAAGCGAAGCGAGTCGAGGACGGCGACCTCGACTGTAGCAAGAGGATAGCACATCTTAGCTGAGATGATGAAAGTAAGCGACGCCTCCTCCTCCTCTGGCGTGAGAGCGACGGTGAGGAAGAGAAGTCTTGCACTAGAGACCAGACGAACAGCTGACCTGAGCAGCTAGTGAGCATGCGAGAGTTTCAAACGGTCTTGACCTTTCAAAGGATGCTCCCATCCCCTCCAGCTGCTCCTCCACCTCTCTCCGGTGTTTCTCATCTGGACCATGCTGAAGCAGGCGGGTGACGATCATCGAGCTGACGTTGGAGACAGCAGGAGGAACAAGTAGAACTTCTGGATACCGCAGGGGAAGTAGAGGAGCCATCGACTCTTGTATCATCACCGTCACGTTTCTCTGCGACAAGACGTAGGCCAAGTTTCTCAGCTCCTCCGCCTCTATCACACTCCCTTCCTCCTCCTGCACCACCACAACCTGAGCCTTCGGCATCTCCAGCTCAGTATCTCCTCTCATCAAAGTGGGCAAGTACAAGACCTCTGCATGTTGCGAGGAGGCAGTAGGAGGAGAGGAGGGGGAGGAGGAAAAGGAGGAGGGGGAGGAAGAAGAGGGGGAGGAAGAGGAGGGGGAGGAAGAGGACGGAGAAATTACATCAGCAAACGACAGGCGACAGCCCAGCAGGCCACTCCCTTCCCACGCACGGGGAGTCACACGCAGCGAGAGGAGGCAAAAGTCGCAGGAGGGTCGCAAGAGAGTGACGGGGATGGCACTGCCTCGCTTCGATTCCACCTCCTCCGCCAACAGCTTTTGCTCGTCCCCTGCCCCTCCGCTCACCCTCCCGAAGGCAAGGACGAGGTCCTCTGGCCGAAGGCCTGCTTCACCTGCAGGCGAACCCTCCAGTACCTCCACCACCCTCGCGAGCACAGTAGGGACGAGCCCGTGCGGCAGCAGCAGCCCGAGGACCCGGTGAAGAACGCGCGAGCATTTTCTCTCGCTTCCGACACACAGAGCTCTGAGACAGCCGGTGGCGGGAGGTCTCTTGCTCTCATTGCGGTAGACGGAGCGAGGAGGCGGCTCAAGCCGCCAGCAATCGCATCCTCCAGCGCACGCCGGGAGCGAACACGAGGAAGCAGCTGGAGTTGCTAGGCTTGCTGCAGCCTCGTGCATGAGAGGAGCGAGAGTAGGCTCGAAGATGAGACTGATCGCTGCTGCCGACCAGTGGAAAGCTGAGGAGGAGAAGAGCACGCGCGGGTTGAGAGCTGAATGCGACACCGACCAGGCGACAAGAGAGACATGACGACGCCTTGCTCGCAACATCCAATGGGGCGAAGGAGGAGAGCTGGAAAGAAACACCACCACATCCCCTGCACTCAAGTTGCTCACGCTCAAAGAGATGAAACGACCCGAACCCTCGCTCGCGTTCCTCTTGCGTGACTTGCCTCGCCTCACCTGTCGGTGCACTCTGAGGCCCGACGGTTGAGCCGACAAGGCAGCAAAGAACAGCTGCATGGCGTCCTGCTCGTAGGCATTTGCATCCTCACAGTCGAGCAGGAAGACTTTGGTTTCACCTCGGAACTCTGTCCTTGTTGCAAGCGCTTCGTCCTCCATAGCGCGGCACGCAGACTTGATGCTGGTGTTGTGCGGTGCTACAAGTCTCGCTACCCGGCAGCATTCCAGCGCCTCAGCCGTCTGACCAAGAGCATGCTCCAGAACAGCAAGGCCGTGCCATGCCGAGGCCGATCGAGGGCTCACGGTCAAATAGAGCTGAAACAAGGCGGCGCCTGCCCGCCTGCTGTCGTCATGTGTCACCGCAGCGAGAGCTTGAGCCGTCTGATGGATCAGATCCTTCGCCGCCTCCTCCTTCATCAGCCTCATCATGAGCTGACTGACGTCTGCTGCCCCCACCACCTCGACGCTTCTGTTCACTAAGAACCCCACGGCCTCCTCCTGCCCCCAGAACAGTCTCAGATGCTCGCGCAGGCTCGCCAGGGCTCCATCGAAATCTCCTGCCTGCAGCTTGACAAGCGAGAGGTGCAACAGGAATTGTGCCGCATTGTCGTCGGGAGCTTGAGCACCCACCACCTTGAGGTAGCGAACTCTACGGAACTTCGTTTCCTCCGACAGGAGAGGGTCTACTTTGATCACCCCCAGCTCTTCTGTCAACTTTGCGTTGAGCAACTTGCATTCTTGGAGCTTTGCGTTCAGGGACGACACTTGGCCTCGCACCTCATCCTCCACATCAAGTCTTTTAAGGCTTTCGCGCTGCTGACATTCTTCTTCTCTCTTGGATTCATGCTTCAAAACGATTGCTTTTGCTTCGACGAGCTCGAGCTCGAGCTCAGCAATTCGCTCCTCAAGTCTTCTATTCTTGGCGAGCAGGCTCTCGACTGAAGGACAAGAGCTTTCACAAGCACAGGGAGCAAACAGAAGGCACAGGATCACAAGCACAGCAAGAGACGAATGCTGTCTCTGACTAGCACACTCCAGCAAGGCAGACATGGCTGGAGGGTCTCCGAGGGAGGCTGACGTTTATTCCCGACTACTTCAACGTCACAAGCGCGTTTCGGAATCTCAAGAACTCTTGAACGCTGTGCTCGCTGAAGTATCGGATTTGCAGGTACTGAAGGGGCATGAGAGGGAACCAGAGCAAAACAAGATGAAACCTCATGCGACGAGAAGTATCTCAACTTGGTCTGCGGGTCTGTGTACCTCGCCCCCAGCCCGGTCAGGTCACAATATTTCTTGCTGGGCAAGATGGACGGAGGAGCTTCAATGCTCGAATACCTGCAACGCCGTCAACCGCCTCAGTGCAGCCCACGGCTTCGAAACTCACGTGGCCACTTCCAATGACATCTTGTCGAAGCCTTCTGATTCAATGATCTTCTTCAAGCCTCTCGACTGCTTCTTCTTGGCCTTGTCATGCGTCTAGGGCATCTCAGAACCCAAGGAGCGAGCTTCACAGGCACAACCTTCATGGTGTGGAGTTTGAACGGGAGCTTGTGCGGCACCGGTACTGGTTCAGCAGATTCTTGCTGCGAAGACCTTCCGCGTTTCTTGGGCAATCCTTCCTTTGCTGCCTCTGTGGACCTGGGAAGCCGAACGCGGGAGCTGAGAAGTGGGACGAGCATGAGCGCTGAGGTCAAGGGAGGAGGAGGCGCTACCTGGCAATAGGAATCCACTCATCGTCCTGTGACAAGCCTCCGACGTAATGGATCTTGATCTGACCATTCTTGATCTTGATGACTTCCGCGTCCCACCACTCTCCCTCTGCCTCTACCTCAACTGATCCACCCTTCCCCACCTGCCACTCGCTCATTCCCTTCCCTCAACGTCCCCGTTCAATACCTGCATCCCCTCGATCGTGGCGTCAGATCCCATCACGAGTTGCTCACACGCCCGTCTGTACAGCCACGTCACAAGGCTGGAGGGTGAGGAGGGTGAGGGGGAGAAGGGGAAGGGGGTTAGGCATATTAGCCTGTACGAGACGAGGGTGGAGAGAGGTCGATGGAGAAGGGGGGAGGAGGAGGTGAGAGGAGTGGGGGAGGAGGGGAAAGGGGGAGCGGGGGGAGAAGGAGGAGGGAGGAGAGAAGAGGATGGAGCGAGGGAGAGGATCGTCGCACCATTACTTCGTGAGGGGTTGATTTCAGAATTGCTGGGTACATTTGAATCATACAGATTAACATTTCAAATTTGAGGTGCAGAACAATGACGAGGTATGGACGAGGAGCCGGCGTAGGCTTGAATCATGGGGTAGAGATGCTCGAGGAGCGTAGGCTTGAATCATGGGGTAGAGATGCTCGAGGAGCGTAGGCTTGAATCATGGGGTAGAGATGCTCGAGGAGCGTAGGCTTGAATCATGGGGTAGAGATGCTCGAGGAGCGTAGGCTTGAATCATGGGGTAGAGATGCTCGAGGAGCGTAGGCTTGAATCATGGGGTAGAGATGCTCGAGGAGCGTAGGCTTGAATCATGGGGTAGAGATGCTCGAGGAGCGTAGGCTTGAATCATGGAGATAGATGATGCTCGAGGAGCGTAGGCTTGAATCATGGGGTAGAGATGCACGAGGAGCGTAGGCTTGAATCATGGGGTAGAGATGCTCGAGGAGCGTAGGCTTGAATCATGGGGTAGAGATGCTCGAGGAGCGTAGGCTTGAATCATGGGGTAGAGATGCTCGAGGAGCGTAGGCTTGAATCATGGGGTAGAGATGCTCGAGGAGCGTAGGCTTGAATCATGGGGTAGAGATGCTCGAGGAGCGTAGGCTTGAATCATGGGGTAGAGATGCTCGAGGAGCGTAGGCTTGAATCATGGGGTAGAGATGCGCGAGGAGCGTAGGCTTGAATCATGGGGTAGAGATGCGCGAGGAGCGTAGGCTTGAATCATGGGGTAGAGATGCACGAGGAGCGTAGGCTTGAATCATGGGGTATAGATGCTCGAGGAGCGTAGGCTTGAATCATGGGGTAGAGATGCTCGAGGAGCGTAGGCTTGAATCATGGGGTAGAGATGCTCGAGGAGCGTAGGCTTGAATCATGGGGTAGAGATGCTCGAGGAGCGTAGGCTTGAATCATGGGGTAGAGATGCTCGAGGAGCGTAGGCTTGAATCATGGGGTAGAGATGCTCGAGGAGCGTAGGCTTGAGATTCTTCTATTGCTTCTTGGCTTTCTCATCAGGTTTCTCAGCATTTATTAACAACTCACAATAAAGGAAAATCTTGCAAATGTGCCTTTTTACAACGAACATTCTCATGTACAGGGAAAAAAGAACAGGAACAACAGAAGAGAGGAGGGCTCAGATGAAATGAAGAGGATGATTTCTTGCATGCTTGACATCATTGTGACTGGCGGTGACCCATTCGCCGCGAGGATTTTCTGGGTTGTGAAAAGAATTCGGACAAGATTCCGATTCTTCAAATCCCGTGAGAAGATGTCCAAATGTTGGAGGTGGACTCAACCGGTAGAAATTCCTTGAAGAGAAATCATCGTCCACAACCTTGTGTTCGGGTAGGAAAGAAGAGAAGGCTTGATTCGAAGGTGAGATGATGGCAGCGTTTGGCTCGAACTCAAAGTGACTGACAACATGTGACACTGCCTGTCTCGTCGTCTGCTCTGACTGACGATGGTTGCTCTCTTCGAAACATCTACACATGATCACGGCGTCGTCCCTCAAGCTCCTCTCCTCTCCTCCCGCGTCTGTATTCCTCACGCTTCGCTTCAGAATAGAGCAGGCGTTGGCGCAGATGAGCTGAGCTTCAAGCGCCTTGCTCGCGGTCTCGAACGTCAGGTACGCACAGACTCCGTCAGGAGACACGCGAAACGAGTGACCGCCGAGCTTTGAGAAGAGATGCTTGCGAAGATGGTGAACAGTCCACAAGGTGCTCCAATGCCTGATCGTGATCTGCGATGGAGATTCTTCGCTAATCTTGCATACTGGCCATACCTCATGCGAGTCTGCCGCGTCCTCTACCGCATTATGCTCCTCATTCTCATCCAGCGGCGAGGAGCTTGATGTCACGCTTTCAGAGGACGCGGTCCGAGAAGCTGAAAATCTTGCGCGAACTTGGGAGATTGCATTCTGACTCGCTACTTCAAACCCTTCTGGCTGTGAACATCCGGTAGTCATTGAAGAGATGGTGTTCTTGTCCTCATCAACTTTCTTCAAGGTTCTTTCTAAGCTCTTCAGCTTCCTAAATGGCCAACGAAGGATCCCTTGAGCTCGGCAGATCTTCTTCAAGGATGTCAGGCACATCCCCAGCTCTGCGGCGACTTGCTTTCCGGCAAGTGAAAGTAGTTACTAAGCTGATCGATCGTGATAGGTGTGGGAGGCATTCTGCTGAAGAGCCTGGCCTCTGACAGCTTGATCTCTTCTGTGCGTGATGACACAGCTCTAACGCAAGCAGCGAATCAAAGCTTACAGTCCAGGCAAACAAACGAGATCTGGTCGAACAAAGGTAGCAAGGTTGTCCTGTTAGAAGAGGAGGAGCAGGCAGAGGAAGACGGAGGGAGGGAGGGAGGGAGGAGCAGATTGGTCGTCAGACGAGGGCCCGAGGGAGGAGATGCAGGATCGGCAAGGAACTGGTGCACAAATGGCGGGTGAGGGCTTATATCGGACCTTTGAGGTTGAAATCCAAAACGATCGTTTTCATGTTCACACCCCGTTACTGCATCTGTAAAGGAGGGGTACTTTGGTCATCAGGACTCCATTATTAGCTTCGTTTAGTTCGATCATTGCGGCGTTTCAGATGAAGAGACAGATGGATAAGAACACAGCCGTTTGATCGTAGCATTACCCCCTTGTGGACCTCGAGAAATGGGGGTATGTATTCCCATGCATGACTAGCTTCGGTTTGAATGTGTAGTAAAAGTCAGCTATCCATACGTTGGATCGAAACATTGTGTTTCAGGACTTCTTGAGCATCGGATCATCTTATCTTCCAACGCATATTCCATGACAAACAGAGGGGAGGCGCAAAGCACGAAGAAGGGTGTACACAGAAAGTTGGGAAAGAGAAGAGTCAGAAGACTAGCTCTTATGCGTAGAAGAAGAAGTGAAGGGGAGAGCGAGGGACCAACAGAAGAAGAAGTGAAGGGGAGGGTGAGGGACCAACAGAAGAAGAAGTGAAGGGGAGAGCGAGGGACCAACAGAAGAAGAAGTGAAGGGGAGGGTGAGGGACCAACAGAAGAAGTGAAGGGGAGGGTGAGGGACCAACAGAAGAAGAAGTAAAGGGGAGGGTGAGGGACCAGAAGAAGAAGTGAAGGGGAGGGTGAGGGACCAACAGAAGAAGAAGTGAAGGGGAGGGTGAGGGACCAACAGAAGAAGTAAAGGGGAGGGTGAGGGACCAACAGAAGAAGTAAAGGGGAGGAGGCATTTTAGAAGAAACGAGGGAGAAGGGGGAAACTCAATAGCAGAGAAGAGTGGCAGAAGAGTGTCGATACTCCAATTGATAGCAAGAACCAAACATAATTGTTGCCAAGTGAATCTGACAGTTAATAGAATTTTTGAGAGTAAGATGGTGTTGAGATGAAAGTGGAATAGCAGAAGCCTATTGCAGTCTGTGCTGAAATCGTAGCTAAGGCAGAATACTTTCGATGCGAGATAAAACATGAAGGACTAGCACAGATGTGACAAAAGGGAACCTCGATTACACAGAACCGCGTTAAAGGAGGCTGGCAGAGTTTGATTAAAGTTTGTGCTCTAACGTAATACAAATATGCGAGTATCGCATGCGTTGTTGATGGAAGTTATCCTAGCGCTCACTCACTCAGCCAAGTTAGTTGAGCTTTGGTTTCAACATGGCCATGTTTATTTCTGAAGGTAGTGTAAGGTGTAGATTTCCTTGAGGATCGGTTGCTCCTCTACCTCTTCTAAAGCCACTTGAAGCAGCGCTGGATCTTTCTCCCGCAGCACTCGTTCATGATGAAGCCCGTCGCTGATGTTGTGGATGATGAGGCCTAGTACCTTCGTGTAATGTCTTCGGGACTTCTCCTTGTGAATTCCGAGCTCGTCACAGAACTGTTGTATTCTGGTCGAATAGTCCCCGTTATCGATGAAGTCAAATATTCTGCCAAGAAGATTTTGACACGATGAAGAACTTTTCTCTATCAGCTCTTCATACTTGATTAACAACTTTGGCCCAGGAAAGTCTTGGTAAGCCTTCCAGTTGATTATGATATTTTCAATCACCTCGCTTAGTCCCATGGCGTTGTAAGAGAAGTGACGAATGTGCCTCAGAACAGATTCGATGGGATTTCGGATGATGAGGATGACTTTTTCTCCTGCAACGACCTGAGAGAGGTCGATCCTGTGCTTCTTCACCAGGAAGGCTGGATACTTGTAAGGGTCTTTGATCCCTGACGCTGCGAGCACCGGCCTGTCTCCGACTGATGGCGACTCTGTAATGTTCTCCAAGATGTATCGCAGCCACGTATTGCCGCTCTTGGGAACCGAAAGGAGGTAGACTTGAGGCAGTCGCTGACCGGGAGGCATCTCAAGCACAGTGAGCCAGGCGGTGGTGTTGGACACCTCATAGATGACAGATCTGTCGTGCTTGCAGATGACTGTCAAGAAGCTCTCGACCTGATAGTCTCCCACGTGCTTGAGCTCGAACTGAATTTCAAACCGCATGTAGCTGAGGTCCTCAGTCCAAGTCTGTTCCTGAGAAAGT